CATTGCGCGAAAGCTACTGTGTTGGGCTCATCAAAACCTGCTCTCTATTAGAGCGGTTTTACATATCCGGTGTTCTGAACAGAGGGGCAGATGTGATGTCCAGGGGCGGCCCACGTCATGTGGACCGGACCCTCCATCCAGATCTGATGTTTTCAGACGTAGCAGAAGTTGGCAAAGCAGCTGTGGACCTGTTTGCGACGCGAGAAGAACGCTCAGTGTCAACTATGGTTTTCCCTGAGCCCGCGAGACGATCCATCGCTGGGGGGGGACGCATTTGCTCACAGCCCGTGGCCCAAAACGCTTTTGTACACGTTTTTTCCCCCACCTCCTCTGTTTTTTACGGTTCCTGAACCGAGTTCAGGAGGAGGGATTGACAGCTCTCCTGGTGGCTCCCGGCGTGTGAACGCACCATGGTTCCCAGGCCTGCAACGTCTGTTGTCGGGTCGCCGTGGAACTGCCGTGGAGGGAGGATGCTCTCCTTCAGGCAGGAGGAGCGACCAAGAGTTACCCAGAAATAGGTCAGCACCTGTGGGTCTGACCGCTGAGCGGTCCCACTTAGAGGATGGGTCTCCCTCAGGATTCTAAGGCGGAGATAGTGTGCACAATTCAAGATTCACGTGCTGCATCTACCACAGTTCTGTACACATCAAAGGGGACGGCTTTTCAGCGCTGGTGTACAGAGAAGGTTTAGAGGCCACCTCATGCCTTTTAGGCGGCGTGTTGTTTTTCTACAACAGCTGATGGATAGGGAGTTGGCATTCAGTACGCTTTAACGTACGTTGCAGTCATCTATTCCTGCCACAAAGGTTTCGGAGACAGAACAGCTTTTAATCACCCGCTGATGAAGCGTTTTTCTAAAAGATGTTCAGAGACACAGGCCTGCTTCACGTCCACTTGCTCCACAGTGGGATTTAACACTGGTCCTGCGAGCCCTGATCAAAGCTCCAATTGAGCCTCTGGATCAGGTTTTCACTTAAAATTCTTGTCTCTTTAAACAGCCCTGCTGCTGGTTTTAACACCCGCTAAGAGGGCAAGTAATTATCTGCCCTCTCTGTTGCTTCGTCATGACTTAGAATTTAGGCTGACGGGCAGCTCAGCTGATTTAAGACCAACCCAGCTTTTATGCCTAAAACATCACGAGCTCTTTTAAATCAAGAGTGATATCGTTGGAGGGGTCTCTTTCCCCCCCACAGATCAGAAGAGGAAGCATCTTTTCATCTTCTCTGCCCGGTGCGGGCGTTGACGTGTTACATAACGCGCACAGCTGCAATGCGTTTCAAACTCAACAATTGTTTGTGCATTATAGAGATGCTTCTGCAGGTCGCCGTTATCCATCCAGCGCTTGTCACACTGGCTGTGTGAGGCCTTTTCTGAAGCCTACAGAGCATCAGATTTAGGGCCTCCTGTCAACCTCTAAGCACACTCGACCAGGGGTATCGCATCTTGGACTGCTCTGCATAATGGTATGTCAATGCAGGACATTTGCACTGCGGCTGCATGGTCAACACCCTGCTCATTTATTCGCTTTTACCTACGTGATGTAACGGCTCGTTCCATGACACATTCTGTCCTTAGTGCTCTAACAGAATGAATATTGTTGTTCTCATGGAACTCTGTTTAAGCTCACTTCTGTCTGCATGCATTACAGTGTGAGATGTTGTTATCAGTCACAAGTCGTGTCTGTGATTTTGGTTCTATTGTCACTAATCAGTTCATGACTATTGTTACCAATCAGTTCATTTGATCAATAATCAATTCATGGATATTAATTTGTTTATACTGTTCAGCCATGAACCAGTTGGTTCATGCACCCCCCCCCCCCTCTTTTCAACATTTTTCCGTTGAAAGTTTTCCGGGGCGTTCATGCTTTGTCAGAACGCATAGTTACACAACATGCGTCTGTGCATGGCACATAATTACGCGATGCGTAGTTATGCACACGGGGAGCTGAGTGACAAGACGTTTTTTTTGGGCAAGCTTCCGCTTCTTACTGTGTTCGAATGGACCCAGTGAGGCGAGGACCACATCCGCTTCGCCCTTAACCCATCAGCGACAGCCTTAAAGGGCGAAGCCTATATGAAATAGAACGTTGGTTACGTACTGTAACCCCAGATTCTATGAATATAGGCGTAGCCCTTTAAGCGTCGGGCCTCACTGGCTCCTAAATGGCTGAAGAAAAAAGCTATTTTGGGAGCCGATTTCCCGCTCTTAACGTAATTTATACGGACCGGGTGGGGCCCACACAGCAGGTGGGCGTGGACTAAATTTTTTCAGTGCTTATGCTCTGCATAACGGGATAAACCCATCAGCGACAGCCTTAAAGGGCTACGCCTATATTCATAGAATCTGGGGTTACAGTACGTAACCAACGTTTCTATGACCTCTACTCTTTCATTATCTTCATTCATTAGCTCCTCAAAGTACTCTTTCCATCTTCCCATCACACTCTCCTCACTTGTTAGAACATTACCATTCCTATCTTTAATAAGCCTAACCTGCAGCACATCCTTTCCAGCTTGATCCCTCTTTCTCACCAATCGATACAAGTTATTCTTGCCCTCTTTAGTGTCCAGCCTCCCATACAAATCACCATACACCTTTTGATTTGCCATAGCTACCTCTCTCTTGCTCTATGTGCATCTCCTTATATTCCTGTCTCCTCTCGTCAGTCCTCTCACTGTCATATTTCTTCTTGGCTAACCTCTTTCTTTGAATAGCTTCCTGCATGCCATTATTCCACCACCAGGTTTCCTTATCATCTTTTCTCTGTCCAAATGACACACCAAGTACCTTCCTACCTGTCTCTTTAATTACTGTTGCTGTAGTAGTCCAGTCATCTGGAAACTTTTTCTCACCACACAGAGCCTTTAACAGCTCCTCTCTGAATTTCTCACAACATTCTTCCTTCTTCAGCTTCCACCATTTGGTCTTCTTGTCTGATTTTAATCCTTTTCTCTTCTTCACAACAACAGTCATTCTACACACATTCCAACACTGTCTGGCCACGCTTTCCCCTGCCACAACCTTACAGTCCCCAATCTCCTTCAGGTTTCCTCTTATACACAGAATGTAGTCGACCCGCGTACTCCTTCCTCCACTCTTATAGATCACTCTATGTTCCTCCCTCATTTGGAAATAAGTGTTGACTACAGCCATTTCCATTCTCTTGCTGAATTCCACCACCATCTGTCCTTCTTGGTTTCTTTCCTTGACACCAAACCTACCCATCACTTCCTCATCTCCTCTGTTTCCTTCACCAACATGTCCATTCAGGTCTGCTCCGATCACCACTCTCTCCTCCCTGGGAATACTTTCTATCACTTCATCCACATCCTTCCAAAATGTCTTTCTCCTTCACATCACTTCCAACCTGTGGAGCATAACCACTGACAATGTTTAGCATTGGACCGTCTACTTGTACCTTCAAGTACATCACCCTATCTGAAACTCTTTTCACCTCTGCTACATTCTTTGCCAACTCCTCCTCCAGGACCACCCCGACTCCATTTCTCTTTCTATCCTCACCATAGTAAAACAGATTGAACCCTGCTCCAATGCTGAAAGCCTTGCTGCCCTTCCACTTGGTCTCTTGGACACATAAAACATTTACCTTCCTTCTTTGCATCATGTCAGCCAGTTCTCTGCCTTTGCCTGTCATTGTCCCAACATTTAGAGTTGCAACCCTCAGTCCTAAATTTTTGACTTACCTCTTCTCCCTCTGTCTCCTGACACGTTTCCCTCCTCATGATCTTCAACTAACAGTAGGACAGTTTCTGCTGGCACCCTATTTGTCAACAGCGCTGGTGGCGGTTGTTGTTAACCCGAGCCTCGTCTGATCTGGTATGGTGTTACTTTCTTGGTCTCCACTACTATCACACAATTTTCAAGTCAGTATCTGTGTGTATGTATGAGTTATGGTCGTTTTGTGCATGCTTTAATATCAGTTGGCAAAAGTTATTCAGTTGTAGCTGCACAGCCAATGATTACTTTTTTCAAGTTTCATCAAAGATTTTCAGGGGTTTTCTTGAGATAGTTTGCTAAAGGACGGAAAAGTGAACATAAACACACAGACATAGACAGGGGCAACAATAACGCCCGCATTTCGCCTGCAGGTAACAATTCAAACAAAGGTTCTAAGATGGCTGTTTTGTTTTCTTCTTCTTTTTTCTTTATTATTCCAAATCTGACAACTATTTTCTTCAGGCCTTTCCTTATTGGTGGCAGCAGTGTCTTGCAGCTTGTTTTTTATTATTTATACAGATGTGAAAACAGAAAGTGACTGCTCTTTCCTCTGCAAGGCTTCTTGGCTGTTCTGTGCTCGGACACACACTCGCTTTGTCATTGTGGAATCTTTCCCTGAGGTTCTGTGTTGTCACCATATCAGTTGATGGTAATGTGCTGACCCGGGGCTCTCTTGCACTTTCTGCAGCCAGCCTGCCCTCCTGTGGAATGAACACAGAGAATCACGTTGTTTTAACATCTGCTATGAACCTCTTCGTCCTTCAAAACATGCTGACATGTCATCAGTACATCAGAAAATACTTCCTGTGCTTTATCTATCTATCTATCTATCTATCTATCTATCTATCTATCTATCTAT